TTTTTTTTTTTTGTTCCGCGTTCGGCCGAACGTCCGAACGCGTCGAGAGGGGGTCCCAAACGTTCGGGCGTTCGGGTTCGGGTATTCGGCCTGTCCCGAACGCCGGCAACCCTGTATATATATATGTATATATACAGGGTTATCTGACCGAACGTTCGAGGGCCCCCGGGCTGGCCCCCAAACGTTCGGGCGTTCGAGGTCCCGTTCGGGGGCCGAACACCTCCAGGTTTGGCCCCCGCCAAAAAACGTTTCGGGGCCTAAAAATAAGTTTTTTTTTCTGAATTCTTTTTTTGTGAGTTCTCTATGATGTAACCTAGACGCCTATAAATTTTGAAGCCATTCTGCTAAGCCAAACAAACATTAAAAATCGTCAAAGATGGGGGTGTCGAAACGTGCTCGCCCACTCACTATTTTGTTTTTTTTTTTCACTTTTAACTTTTTGTTTTCACTTTATTTCGGGGCCTAAAAAAAAATATTATTTTTAAATTTTTTTTTAACGAGTTATTGATTATGTAAACTACATATTGGCACATATTCAGGGCATTTGTCAATGCCAAAAACTAATTAAAAATCGGCAAAGATGGCGGTGTCGGAAAGGTGCTGGCACACTCACTCATTTTAATTCTCTTTTTATGTTTTCTTATTTTTATCATTTTTAATTCAAATTTGGTAAACAATTTGGATGTAGTGCCCAGGCAAATGTTGTTTAGTTTAGTTTTCTCCATAAAATATTTGTTTTTCGGAATTTTTCGAAAACGTTTTGTTTTTTTTTGTTTTTTTTTCCGCTCCGCGTTCGGCCCGAACGGCCAAACGCCTTCGGAAGGGGTCCCGTATGTTCGGGCGTTCGGGTTCGGGCGTTCGGCCCATCCCGAATGCCGGCAACCCTGTATATATATATAATATATATAGTCTGTATTTAGTGGCATATCTCGTCCTCCTCCTCCCAATCATGATCTTCGTCCTCCTCCTCCTACCCATCCTCCTACCCCTCCTCCTCCTCCTGCCCATCCTTCTACCCCTCCTCCTCCTCCTCCTACCCCTCCTCCTACCCCTCCCCTGGTACTGTCTGTCTATCTGTTATCCCCCTCCTTTCTGTCTGTCTGTCTGTCTGTCTGTCTGTCTGTCAGTCTGTCTATCTGTCCTCCCCCTCCTGTCTGTCTATCTGTCTGTTTGTCTGTCTGTCTGTCTGTCTGTCTATCTGTCTGTTTGTCTGTCTGTCTGTCTGTCTGTCTGTCCTCCGCCCGTCTGTCTGTCTGTCTGTCTGTATGTCTGTCTGTCTGTCTGTCTGTCTGTCTCCTCCTCCTCCTCCTTCCCCTCCTCCTACCCCTCTCGTGGTACTGTCTGTCTGTATGTCCTCCCCCTCCTGTCTGTCTGTCTGTCTGTCTGTCTGTTTGTTTGTTTGTCTGTCTGTCTGTCCTCCACCCGTCATACTGTCTGTCTGGCTGGCTGGCTGTCTCCTCCTCCTCCTCCTACAGTGTCCTACCCCTCCTCCTATCCCTCCTCCTCCTCCTCCTACCCCTCCTCCTACCCCTCCCGTGGGACTGTCTGTCTGTCTGTCCTCCCCCTCCTTTCTGTATGTCTGTCAGTCTCTCTCTCTCTCTCTCTCTCTCTCTCTCTCTCACACACACACACACACACACACACACACACATACACATACATACATGCATGAATAACAGGACGAAGAAAAAGGAAGAAGGGTGGGGGAGTCACCGACAGAAGGAAGAAAGGAAGCCTGGTACGATTGAGATAAACATATACGGGTGAGTAGTAGTAGAGGCAGGTGGGCCAGATCGATGCCCCTGCTTTTCACGAAGCCCCATCCTCCGCAGATGAGTAGGTATGCACCAGACAGGGGTCACCCCAGGAAGGGTACAGGTACGCGCACAACTCATGCGCATAGCAGGACTAGCCTCGATATGACCCCGCTGGCTTGACAGGATACGATTTGGGGATAATCCGTCCGATCATTTTTGTCGCCCACTTGCGGGTTCCTTTCTTCTTCTTTCTTTTTTCTTTCTTTTTTTCGCACTTTTCTCTCTCCTTTGTTCGCACTTTTCTTCTTCTTTTTTCGTTGTCGTTTCGTTTTTTATCATTTTCTTTCTTTCTCAAACAAGTTCTCCGCGCTTCCCTCTTTCGTTTTTATCTTTCTTTTTTCTTTTTTTTTTTCTTTTTTTCTTTTTTTTTCTTTTTTTCTCTTTTTTTCTTCTTTTTTTCCTTTTTTCTTTTCTTTCTTTCTTTTTTCTTTTTTTTTTCTTTTTTTCCTTTTTTCCTGCAAAGTTCTTCGTGTCTTCTCGCATCTTATCTCGCCCGCCTCCCTCTCTTTCTCTCCTTCGTTTCCCTCTCACCATTTTTGTTTTTTCCTTTTTCTTTTTTCTTTCTCTTTTTCGTTTAATAATAATAATAATAATTTTCGATAAGTCACGACACATGCACGTGCTCGTCCGGACACTAACTGATCACTGGTGACGCTTCGCCTAACTGGGGTTGTCGGCTCACGAACGTGTGCTCTAATTTTGTGAATGTAGAACATTGTTCGCTTGTTTCCTTGCTTTTTTTGAACTTTTTTTTGAATCTTTTTGAATTTTGTAGAGTTTTTTTTTCTGCCTTGTAGGCAGATGTGCCGCCCGTGGGCAGCATTGTTCGGAAAGTGACGATGACGGGGCAGTATTTGTACTTCAGGGACAACCCTCGGAATCCCATCAGCAACTCAGCGCTCTCGCCTTCCGTTCGATCGAAGTTTCCAACTGCGAGCCGAACGGTGGCGGGATTTCTAAGCTCTCAAGTGCTCAGGTGGAGGTGTACTTGTCGTTGACGGAACGTTGCTACCTTGCGAAGTGCCTTCGCCATGGACTACCAGCTGGACCAGGAGCTACTGGATCGAATGATCGATGACGAGGAAGACATGGTATAAGCACCCACGCCCTCATCCCTCGAAGCATTTACAAAATTAACTGATGAGCACGACATGCCACGCATGCGTCACGCAAACGCCATTCGCACGCTGATCTCGCAATAGACACGCCCGCAATCTGTGCATGTGGTGATGTGGATTTTTTTCCATTCGTACTTCTGCGCTGGCCTGCTTGTAGGCTGTTAGAGCTGGGAACGATGGCACTAAGCAGAGACACGACGGATGACAGGATGGGGATAACTATCGAGGTCTCAACGTATGTTTTGCTTGCATTTATTGCTTTGTTAGCCTTTCTTTCGTTTCTTGCTTTCTTGCACCTCATGCAAGTGTTGCCGCCGCCATCGCCACTCCGACTCCCAAAGAATGTATGATTTTCAAAAGAAGTAGGTGTTCCCTCTGATGAAGCCGTGAACTGGTGGCTTACGGCAGAAAAGCGCTTCAGGGATCTCCACTGCCCTCCCTGCTTTTGCTGTCGAGGCGGCTCTCCCATACTACGTGGAACCGCCTTTGGGTATGCAGCGGGTTTGTTCTGGATCGTACGAAGTTTCGAGTTATGTTTTGAGTTGAATAAAGGAGGGGGGTGGAGGGGGTGACGTATCAGCTTGATTGGCTATGAGGAGAGATCACGTCATTTTCAGATTGGATGATAGTTTTTTCTGAAGCACAGTATTAGTGTTCTCTGACTAATTCCTGCGTTTTCAACATGTGTGATCGACGATGGATGGAATACGGATGCATTCACTTCGTGCCTTGGCTCTTTCTCAATTGTCGAGTTTTTTTCAATAAATGCTTACGGAATCGCCTCCATACATAATATCTATCTGAGCGAACACCAACCGTCATGGTTAATACCCGGTTCGGTTATTATGATGGATGGCGCAAACGAAATTGGATCTTGGGGTGAACGAGTTTTTTTCAATCTCGCGAATTATTTCTTTTTTGATTCCTTACGAATAAGTGTGTTGTGATTTTTTCTGAGCTATGCATGGATTCAGTCTTTCTACCCATATCCATTGAAAAAAATAGACATGCATATTCGAATCGTTCCTACGAATATATGAATCTATTATTTCTCTACGATTCGGACTATAATACTGATAGACAAATATACAAATACGAATGCGTACTACGATATCAGAAATGGTCTCGTATATATCAATATACTTCTTGGAAATGATCGAACACCCATGCTTGGACGAACGATTGCATTTTCACCCGATCATCCGGACGGACATACGACCGTAAGATTATATCATGTATACCCCCCTCATCTGATTATGTCCTCAGGAAAACGTCTCTCTCGACCATCATATGGCATGTATACGGCTACACAGTCTAGGTCATGCTACATCTGCAAGATCCTGCCAAACCGGTGGTTGGCTTGTAGAAGTTCTGTGCTCGCTTGATAAGGGTAATGGGGGTATGCCGATAAATTATTTCGGAGCTTCATGGCTTTACGGTTTGCGTACTTGCTTCGACATGTTTATCATGGAGTAATCAAAACACACGCATGAGGGGAGTGACCCCCGTCAGCGCTGTTGGTGGTGTGTCCCACCAACCGTACCCCTGTATGTAACCAAGCGAGAGACGCACAGGCATTTGCCAAAAGGTACCCGGGCAACTCGGGGTAAGGTACGATCGCATGGGAAAGAACTGGTTTGCTGGTTGTGCTTTACAATAACGGTTAAGCTGGTGCAAGTCGTCGGCTCTCCAACCCTTCTTGTTTCAAGTGTGGTTTTTTGCTGTGTTTTTTCTGCTTTTTCTGCGTTTCTTCTTGTGTGTATCCTCGATTGTGTTTCCGTGATTATTGTGATTGCATTGCAGGCTCCACGAAGGAGTTCTTCCCAGGAGGATGGTGGGACGAACTCACTTCCAAGTATGATTGGCTAAAGGAACAGACATGGCCCAACAAACCGGCGCAAGCACTCATCGCCACATTGAAGCCTGAGATCATAGAGGCGATGAAGAACCTGGTGGGGACCGGGGATTTCCCGAATTTCTTTTGCATGATCGGATTTAGTGACATAGCTAATCTCATACGGATATGGGATCAGGGAAAGGATGCTTTCGTTGCCGTGCTTTTTGATACTGCCACCGAGCTAGAAAGGAAGACGTTAGACTATGAGAAATAGTGTGTGGAGCTGCCCGCTAGAACCGCGAGAATTGAACAGACATTCCTTAGAATCTGGGGGCTGGACCATTCGCACTTGCAGGGGCAGGCCGCCGAGACTCCAACAGTCGGTTGCACCATCACAGGTGCGCTGGCCCTTGACGACGAGGAAATGGCGGAGATGAACGCTGCCATCGCCGCAGTAACCGCCACTGCCAGCCATAACCCGGAGAAAGCCTCCTCCTGGCAGGGACGGCAGTTCACTGCTTTCGCACCACTACCCTCTTTACACTGGGTTGAACACACGAGGTCCGGATTCAGACAAGCACTCTGGAAACTCGACACGTTCAATCACCTTACACCATTCTCGGTGAAAACACTTATTTTCCTAGCCAACCTGACAGAAGAAAAGGTTGCCACGTGTAAGGCGAATGCGATAACCGGCGCGCTCCCATATTGCCCTCCGGGGAAGAAGGCATTTAACCCAACCCTCCTAACTTTCCATTTGCTATCGACACTAGACCATACGAAATGCAAATACGCTAGTCCAATGATGTGGCAGAAGAAGCTCAAAACAACCCCGGAGATCGATCTCAAAGGGCTAAGGAAGAGTTGGAATGTCGGGAGACCATATCTCAGGTGCAGATGCGCCACCGAAAGGAAGAAGGATTGTGGAGTAGGACCGATCTGGATGGACCATGCGATCTGGTACCTGCTCGCACATCCGGATATCCTCTTTCCCAACATCGCCTCGGTAAAGGTAAGAACCTCGACTTTCATCCACTTTCTACGCGTCTCATGGAAACCCGCCGTGGAAGCCTGTCTTACCTTCATGTTCATTCGAGAGATCATGACAGATGTAATCAACGCCCTGGAGAAGGACCCCTCCCTCATCTCTGAATCAATTATCCTGAAAGAAAAATGGAGGTACAATACCCCGCTGACCATCGAAAGGGTCTTGCTACCCACGAGGATAACTGGCAACCCAAGAGTCAGAGCCAGAGGTGCTCGGAATGAGCAAGGGAACGCGCGGAAAAAACAGCGCAACAACTCACCCATAGTCGTATCCCCCCGCCAATGGATACTGCCCTACGAACCCAGGGAAAGGGCAGATGCGACACAAGGGATGGTTCCTCCCAAGGAACCGCCACGCCAGGAAGGGGCGAGGGATAGGGCAGATGCACAGGATCACGCATCACAGAAGCAACTCGGGGTGAGAGGGCTGCACAATATGGCGATGAGCGGGCGACAAGAAAGAGGCAAAAGCAGTTCTCGACTTCTGACCTCACAGGCCGGCTCCGCGATCTCCACGGCAGACTCCACGAAGAATGCCGGAGCACGGAAATACGGTTCCACCACCGGGGGGAGAAAGGGGAAGAAGGGCGTTATTGGTACACCCTAACACCCACGACCCATCTGCTATCTGTGGACTTCGTCGCCTACCTATTTCCCTTTCCGACGAAGTAATTTTTTTCGATCATTCGATCTGCATCATACACAGGTCGGGGAGAAAGGTGCTTTCCTTATTTCATTTTCTTGTTGTGGTATGCATTTTTTTCTTCTTTTTCTTCTCTGTTTTTTTCTCTTTTTCTTTTTTCTTTCTTCCTCTTTTGAGACTCGTATTTTTTTCACAGATATAGATATATGTGTAAATATGTATGCATATTTATACATATATGTATACAATTTGTTATAAGGAACATGTACAACACCCACTGAGGATAGAATCTCCAGTCTATTGCCTTGCTCTTGCCACTTTGGAATTAAGCCTCTCCAACGTCGGATGACCCTATCAATGAGCTTGCGTGCCATGCACAGGATGAGAACTTCGACCCAATCGAAGGAGGCAAGATGATTGTGCTTCCATCAGGAAGATCCGTATGGAGAAGGGAAGGGAAGGAGCGGGACCAGTTTGTGCACGTCCGATATACCAGCAGACTCATAGAGGCAGTCCCACTGAGGAGGATGATTCTGGAAGCACTCAGGCAGGTGAAGGGGGACAGATCAGCGGACTGGTTGGAGGAGGTGACCATCGGGTGGTGGTATGATGAACCACTAGGGGCCAAGATCTGCAAGCCGGCGAAGGTATTCAGGAAATTCAGGATGATCGAGTGGGAGGCGGGGTATGTTCCGGATTACTGCCAGTGCGGGGCGGGCAGGCATGCAGAATTCTTTAACACTGCTTATATCAGGCTGCTCCCCGAAGAACACACCATGCACGTCATCACTAACGACACGGGAGTGACGAATAACGGGCAGCTACAACTTATGCTCAACACGGGTCTCAGTCATATCCCGCTGAGAGCGCTTGATGAGGAGTTCACGATCGACGAAGTCGAGCTGGTGCTCGAAAAAGTACTCACCACGCGCAGATGCGACGAAGAGTTAACTATGGAGGAGGAAAGACGCGTGAAAGGGATTGTCCTGAAAAATGCAAGGCGATGCATCAGAAACTATCGTGCAAGAAACATGCACATCACCGGGGAACCCATTAACAATGTAGCGATGAGGAGCGAGCTCGAATGGCTGACTAGCAGATATCTTATCTGCCCAACGGACAAGGCACCGCACACTCCCACGTTCGTCTGCATCAACTTCATCAGAAAGTTGGCGCTGCATCGACTCTCCAGACCCGACTTCACACCACTTTCGGAAGAACCAGCGCAGGTGGCTGCGAAACTGCTACAGGAGGCTGCTGCCATCACTCATGTCGGGCAGGAGTTATTACCACTCTCGCACCTCATGACGGTGTACAAGGCTCATAAGCAGACTTTCAGATGGATCACGAACACTGCAAGATCGGTGCTCTACCCCGTCGCAAGCGTGTGCGACAACATGCTAAAGCTACTTGCGGAGGATGTGCAGACCCTCTGCACCAGTAAGAGCGAGGAGCACGGAGCATGAAGTCAGGCCCAACTTCTGGTGGCCGATCTCCTCGATAGGAGAATTCGTGGCCAACATCCCGCGGCACGTGTATTCCGTTTTCACAGGGGACATCACCAGATGCTTCGAGATGATACCGACGGATGGGTCAGACGACGGACTCCTGGAAGCTATCAAGCTCTTCGTTCGATGTGCCATGGAATGGAGGAGGGCTAGAACGACCAGGGACGTGATCGCCATCAGAATCGTGGCCAATGGCGCACCGCATCCGTATTGGGTGGATGAAGACCAGGACAGGGACAGAGACAGATTGTACTTCAACGAGCAAGGGGTCATCGACGTTTGTGACTGGCTCATTTCCAAAAGTGTTGTGCAGATGGGAGACAAAGTCTGGAGGCAGATCCTCAGAATTCCTATGGGTTTGGCGTGTTCCCCTATCTTCTGTGATGTGTATTTTTTTAAATACAAATATGAATTAATCTCCTACTTAGTTGAAATGCAGGATTGGATAATGATTAGGTGTTTCGAGGATACCTACAGATACATCGATGATCTGTGTTCACTAAACACCACGATCATTGCCGGGATTTTCAAAAACGGAATCCAAGGCCAGAACCCGAATTGGCGAATCTACCCCTATGAGTTTATCGAAGTCAAGGAAACGACCAAGGTCATAAACGATGGGCATGGGAGGACAGCTAATTTCCTCAACCTTTCGTTGTTGATCACCTCCACACAAAATGGCACGTTGTCACACTTTTTCCAGTCAGGCCGTTTCAAGCGACCGGAAAGCCAACAGGCTGTCACGCAGGATTTTGTATGTGATTGCAATAAATAAAATAAATTAAATAATGAGAATCGCTTCCTGTTGTGTGCATCCGACTTCGAGCGAGACCCTTCAATTGCGGTCTTCGCCGGTCCCCGGTCTTAGGAATCTTTTATTTTGATTCAGAACAGCGAGAATTATGCAAATGATAACCATAAAATTATATGTGACCGTTTGAACGACGTGAACGCGCGCTCGTGTTCAAATATGCGTTTGAACACGGATTGCGCGTTAACGAAATAAGATCGGAGTTATTATTCTATAACAAATAAACCCTAAACCCTAAACCCTAAACCCTAAACCCTAAACCCTAAACCCTTGCCTCAGGGTCACATCGAAATTATTTTCCAAGATTAAAATAAAAATTAAAAAAATAAATAATTTTTTTATTTTTWTTTTTTTAGCCCGGCCGGGCAAGTGACCCCGGGCCACTGTGGTAGCCTAGATAACACATTTTTTTTTTGGAATTTTTAGAGAACTTTTTTTTTTTTTTTTTTTTTTTTCCCTCGTGGAATTGAACTCCACGTTCGGTCGCGTTCACTAAACGCGCGTTCATTCTGTTCAGTTTCTGAACGGAAAACACGCGTTCAATGAACGCGCGGTAACACAGATAAAATTATGGGGAGCTATGCATGCATCAATTATGTCAACTTTATTTTTGATAACTGTGACAGAATCATCCATGATAGCAATCATCAGGTAAAAACAATGCAAGAAGCAAGACCGACTGACTGGAGCAAAGGCTAGATCAGTTGAATGAGAGAAGAATGAGAACTCATAATAATCTCAGAAAGTACACATAAAGAAGCATGGTCAGCACCTCTCAAGAGTCCTCACTCATCCCTCTGGTCAGTCTCTCTCAATCTCTCTTTTCACTGATCTTCGTTGGTGCCGAGACCCACGCCCACGTACATTCTGAGACTGAGGCTTCGTGACAAAATGCCACCTGAAGCCAGCAAGCTTTGAACATGACCATCCGAGGCACATGACTCGGTAGTTAACCATGGAGCAAAACTCCTCCCACAAAGTAGGCAGTCTGTCCACTGAAAAGACTCCTCGTCTCAGGTAGGGGTACTCGGTCGGCTCGGTCAGCGCCTCAACGTCGATCACTGCTGGAGAGATGTACCTCTTTGCCAAACTAATCACATCCAGCCAACTCGTGCCATCTGTGAGAAGAGAAGGGACTGGAGGCCTAGGATAGTCACTATAAAGCATCGGCCCGAAGCTGCGGATCAACGTTGTGCCACTCCCATCGAGCTCCCTCTCTCTCTGCTTAAGGTATTCGGTGGCTGAGATCCAGACTTGGTCGAAAAGTTCATGAGCCTCCTTGCCCTTCCTCATGTAAGACCTCAGATCGTGGATAGTGCCATCAACAAAGCTGGTCTGGACAACGAAGGTTGGCAGATCTCCCTGTCTGAAAGCAATGGCACTAACGAAATACCTCCGTGCATGAAAACCGGTTGAGGCTGGCCAGCATTGACTCACTAACCGGCGTAGACTGAACTGTGCTCATGAGTACTCTTGCGAGTGCAAACCAACCAGATGGTCCCGGAGAATTGGTTACAAGACTGATTGCAGGAAGCTGATTGCTGGACACTGATTGCTAGAAACTGATCACTAATAACTGATTGTTGATGATTGATTGCTGATTAGATGATTGTTGATTAGATGATTGTTGGATGTCCGGATAAGTGAGTCGTACTTGTTCAGAGACAAAACGCTCACTGGTGGCTGCCAACAGTTCTCCTTGCTTCCCCAATAGTACCCACAAAAGTTATGGTGGCATATAGCCTGTGGTTCTTATCATGCAAGTAGTATGTGTACTCGATTTTTGTATGATTTCTCACAAGGGCCAGTGCATGTTCCATCATCATAGTGGTCTGCTGATTGTATTCCTCAACTGCACTCTCCCTCCAGGTCTCTGCAGTGTCCTGATACAGAGAGCAGGAGACTCTAATTGTGTTGTTGTCCTCCATATCCTTACCGAATTCTCCTTACATCAGTTCACCCAACTCAAGACGGGTGACTCTTGGACGATATAGGTGTGAAGAGGCTGTTGGGTTGATTGCTGTTTTGAATAGTTATTCTTGATTGTCGTTCCCAACTGCAGTTTCTGATTACTAAATCACTTGCTGAATTAATGATACGTATGCTGAACCGATTTCCGATTCGATTGTAGATTTTGTTGCTGATCTGATTGCAAAATTGCTTACTGATCTGATTGTCTTTCAGATTACCACTGGTCAGAACACTTGATCCTGACTCCTTGGAATGATTTCTTGCTGATCTGATTATTGTTCTGGAAAAAGACTGGCTGTTGTCGGTTTTGTCGGTTAATTAACCTGACTGACAGACCGCCTAGAGAACTAGATAGGAGTCACTTAACCACCGGCTGGATACTTGTCTGAGAATCAGATGTATGCTGCTCAGTTACAACCGTGGCACTGGGTTCACTGAAAACTGAGTCATGTTCCGATCTCTGCCAACAAAACTAAGCATTGTGCATTAGTAGTTGTGTTCCGTGTTGTCCACTGTTAACGGTGTTGAGTACCGAGAACCATGTATCACTTACTGATTAGATTCGCCGGCGAAATCCTTTCGAAGGGAAGGATGAAAGAATGCAAGTTGCTCAGAGATCCTGATAATACCGAAGCTAGTACTTGGCTAGCCTTGCTATACAGTCGAGATAGTCTGCGATAGCTCACTCGAGAGTGACTAAACACGAGCAGGCAGGGTTGTTCTAAGAAGACTCTAATTACTGAGACAAAACTGTTGACGAATGACTTCCTTTCACTTTGCCTGCTCAATAAACTCAGTACGCGAAATTGTGCTATGCAACTCCCCGTTGGACCCATAGAAATAAATAGTATACTCAACGACACCCTGTCCTCTTATCAAATCCCGTGCATGTTCCCTCATCATCTTGATTTGGGATGGTGTATCTCTGATAGCGCTGTCGAGCGCATCGGTCCGACACCGCTCGTCGCAGCGCGGGACCCTCTCGGCCGCGTCACGCAGGAGTTGGACCAACCTCGTCACGAACACACACATGGAGCTTCCTTAGGCCGCTCCGGCCGAGTGCGCCAGCCATACCTATCGCGAGCCCCTACGACAGGATAGGGCCTATGCGAGGCACAACTTACCTCCACCTTACGAGAGTTGTCACCTCCCTTCGGTGGGCGTATCCCCTCCGAGCTACCAGTCCACAGTACGAAAGCTACTCAGTTGCAATCGCAGAGGTGGACCAGCCGAGGACGTTTCTCGTTCGATGTAGCATAGGGGGTACGTGCGGTAACACGCCTATCGGACCCACACGCGAACCGACATCTTGGGGGGTTGAAGTCCCAAGGGCGGTTCGTCGCCGGTCGGCTAGGACGTATCCCACTTACCACGCATACACTACTCTACAGACACAAGAAGGGAAACACACACACACATATACGCGAGACGACACAACACAAAACAACGTGACAACGCTCCTAGCCCCTTAGTAGTCGTCCCATAACTTTCTGATGCGGAAATCGGACGAGCGTCGCGTGCGAGGCTTAGTATAATTATTGCGTGGACGCAGGGCTAACTCATATTGATTTGCAATGCAAGCGTATGCAAACGGTCGCAATGATGGCGTACTATGTAGTACCCATACTCACGTGACCCTCGTTAATCTTGAGGGTCGCGTTCGACACTCAAGTGTCGGCTGACAAGCGCCTCGAGGGGCAATCTCTCGACGCCAGACAACCGCCATGTGCGGTTGAAGACCACACCCTCTTCTCCACCCTGTGCAGGGGGGTTGAGTAGACAACTTTTAAGCTGTCATGGCGGTCAAACATCAAGGGGTTTGACTTTGACGGCCGCCACGGACTATAACGTTCAACCATGAAAGCACAAAAAGGAACTCACTCCAACTCTCAGTAGTTGGTGGCTTCCTAGAAATAGAAGGGGGTGGACAAGCCCAAACGACGCGCGCGGAGGAAGCCCGGTATCCTACCCATGGGCTACCCAGCGTCCGGGATAATGGGGCCTGTACACGGATTCCCATAGGCCGACCGGGACTAGCCCCCCGCCCACGTGCCGCTTCACGTTACCAAAGTCCCAAGCCTATTGGCCGTGTCGCGCTCGTGGTCTCGCCGCCTGACCCATAACTCTTTTAATGCGGGATGCGACGAGTATTGCGCGCGCGAACTTAATATAAGATCTCGAGGGCGTTGGGCTTACACATACTATCCCGCTATGCAGCTCTACGCGAGTAACTG